GGATAACCTCGCCTGGTTAACTAGTTCACTAGTTACTAGCAGGAGGAAGTGGAGATGGATTGGGCATACACTGAGAAGGCTGATTGGGGACATCACGCGTCAGGCCAGTTGCTCGAGTGGAATCCCCATGGGAAGCGACGAGTTGGACGTCCGAGGGTGACATGGAGGAGATGGTGTGAGGAGGAAATGAGAGCTTGTGGGCTGTCATGGAACCAGGTTCAAAAGATCTCAGAGAACAGAGGTCACTGGAGACGTGCTACTGAAGCCCTATGTTCCACTAGGAACCCAAGGGACTAATAATAATATAAAAATAGGATATATGGAATGTTATGATAAATGGATGATAAATCTTCTTTATATTTTCGGTTATACACCTGCAGGTTATATAATTAGCCATGTACATGAATTATTAAGGCATTAAATTTCAATTATTCATTTCATAAGTATTTACACAGTTTAATTGGATACTAGTTGGTATTAAGATTGACAATAAGCGTTTTAGATATTTTCTTTTCAGGAATAATTTATCATTACTAAAATGAAATTTCACAGGGTGAATAATTATCATAAATTGTTAACTATTAAGTATGAGTTCTTGTAAATGTCTTACAATATCAAAAAAAGACTATGCTCTACATTTAATCAATAAAACTTGAATTGATACGTGATTGGTCAGTAGAATGATTATCACCATGAATTTTGGCTCATATAATAATTTCTAAGAGAAAAAAAATAAATATGTTTTGATTATGGATGAGTACGATCAGCTTAGTTATTTACATCTTTACCTAAAGGTAATCACATTAACTTATGAAGCGAAAACATGTAACTTGAGAATTGTAAAGTTGTTGTCTTAATATTTTGTTGCTAAATATTTTATTGTATTTTATACAGGAATTCCAGTTTATGAATTTGAAGTAAGAGCAAAATTAAAGCATGATTCATGTTATTTAATTAAAAATCTACCGTAATGGGATTCACTGAAACAAAAAAAGAATATCTTTCGGTAATTAGGATGAAGAGAAACAGTCGTAATGTGGAAGTAAATCTAAGGAAAGTATTAAATAGGTTCATCTTTGTACATTCATTTCTTAGTAAATTTGTGACTGATTACAAAACATCGAAGAAGATATAGTATAACGATACTACTTTACTGGATAGCTACTATCTTGATGTGGTAGTGAAACGTGTATATCACTATGACCTAACAAGCTACATTAGCTGGAACGCTTGTTGCTTGGATGCCTTAAAATTTACGAAAAGGTCTGTTGGATAGTGTTAAAACTAACAGCAGGTACTATAACAGTGTATATTACTTCGCTGTGGTGGGAGTTTGAGGTCAAAGTTGTACTCTTGGCTAGATAGGGTTCCTCTCAGATGAATATACTGAATCTGCCATTCCTATGGTGAAATTGGGTTTAGGAAAAGTTGCCTCCAAAATGACACACTGTTTCCTGCTCTATGATCTTTCAATGCCGACTGTATGGGTTTTCCTATCTAGCTTTAAAGAACCAAATCTCAAACTGACAAACCTTAAAAGGCTGTGTGTCCCATGAGCTATATCACCACCTAAATATTTGTCTGTTTCAAACACCCTACAGAAAGAACATTCAAGATGCGGGTAACCGAGAAAGGTTAACCTCATGCTCCTCCATCGCCTTCACCTCCTGATAGAAGTAATAGGCTTGTTACAACTGCCTTAGCCTCTCACTCTACTAACGTTACCGACGATCAAAGCCGTCGAAATTTCATTTTTTGTCTCTTAAGATCCCACTGTCGATTCCACATTCCGCATTCTAACCGTGTATCAAAAGGGACAGCAGTCATCTTTCACTGAAACCCTGGTGTCTTGATTCATGGATGTATGCTATGTTTTCGGCACAGGACATGAGTGTAATTATTAAGTTGACTTCACCCAACCAATCTTCAAAATTCACCTTGTGAGTTTCTGCAGACTAGATGGTTGGCTCTCCTGGACTCATTGATTTAGACAGAACACTAGGCTGTCGAAAATGAAGCACACTTTTTGACTGCATACTAGTCGTCAGCCTTCTGTGCACTGTCCAGCTTATTGGATCTGTAGGGACTGGGGAGGGTCGTGAGATTAACCATTCCCTATTCGTAATCTCCTCATACGAACCCACTGACTGCAGTTTGGATGATGCAAAAGATGAATTCCATCAGTTGTCAACTTTGCTACAGAAATTAAAACGTTCACATGTAGTCATGATGGCAGGTGACTTTAACGCTCAAATAGGGAAGTTGAGTCTATCGGAAAGGCATCTTGAAGGTATCTACAGATCCCCACGCCAAAAAACCGACAACGGCGATTGTGTTTTGCAGTTTAAGTCTGACAATCACTTGTTTTTGGCCAGTACAAATTTCAAGCATAAGGTGAGACACTGTCCACGTGGCGTCTGCCACCATCAAACCAATTATGAACATGGATAGACCATTTTGCTAAAACCATCTTTGGAGAGGATTAGTGGAGGGTTTCTGACCTTTCTGGAGTACCTGTTTGGACTCCAATAACGCGCTTGTCTGAGAACGTGTATGTCTGCACCTTATTGGTCTCAGAAAACAGGTGCTCGATTGGAAGACTAAAAGGCTAATTAAATGTTTACAGAGATAGCTAAGCATATATCTGAACGTGACAGGAGTCCTTATCCTGAGGAAACCTAACGTGACATTCAGTCTGTTGCAGAAATGGCGGCAAAGATGGTTTTAAACGTATGCCAAATAGTCAGCAAAGATCGATAGATTTCTGCAGCCTCATCCAATCTGATTGATGAGAGAAGACTATTTTCAGTCGGTTTTGACCACAAGTGGGACGAAAGCAGCTGAAGTGTAAGTTAACTAAGAGTCTCCAAAATAACCGAGCAGTGGTGGGTGGCGAATATGTGAGAGAAGGAGAAGGCCTCAGAATTAGGTAATACCAGGCAGTTACCTAGGCTTATTAGGGTAACGGTAAGAAAACGACGGCCAGTGAGACTATTACTGAAAGCGGCTTTACCTTGGTAGCCTGTCAGGACAGATGGCTAGAACATTTGACAGGACACCTTGAAGCACAATACAACTGTCGATAGCAGCGGTTAAGTTGCACAGCATCCAGACCGAACATAAATAAGCCTCGGATGTACGGAAATCATAAGTAACGCCATCAGACTTGTCTACTTCACTTATCATTGCAGCTTATTAAAAAGTGAACAGAAGTCTTCTTGTGACAACTTTAGGGGAATTATCTAGACTATTATCATGTACAAGACCCGTGAGTTCATAACTGGGGCTCAATAGCAGCAAACTGGAGAAGATCAGTCACGTTTCCAACCTGAACAAGGGTGCACTGATCAGATTTCTACCCTTTAACAGGATCTGGAACACAGGCTTGCTTACTGGTGGTCGACACTTGGCACATTCCTTCACGTGGAGGCGACATTCGACTCTGTCTTCTGAGGGATTTCACAACAGTTTCTAACTGCGACAGGAGCACTGAGCAAGCATGTAAAGCTAATCAAAGCTCTGAACTCTAACTCACGCAGTCATGTTAGGTCTTATAGAGAGTTGTAATCTGAACTGAAGACAGCTATGGTATCCACAAAGGGATGCTTGCTATCAACGTTCCCGTTTAATTCCACCAAAGATGTATTAGTGGAGAAATCCTGGCATACTTTGGACTTCACAAGGAGTGACCAACTCTCTGGTTGTCATCTGGTTGACTTGGAGTATGCAAGAGTTTGTATCCTAACAGGTGAAGACGCTGAAACAATGCAAGGTCTTCTGAATTCGTTGAGCAGAAATCTGAGTATGTCTGGCATGCGTTTAGCACCTGCCGAATGTAAGGTGATGGTTCAGAACTGATCTGCAACGACTGCTTATTTAATGATAAGGAATGAAGTAGCTGAACACGTTAATGACTTCACTTACTTGGGAAGTTGCATCATCCCAAATGAAGTGGTTTCTGACGAAATCTCAGCTAGGATGCAGAAGACCGGTTTAATATTTGCTATCTTGCGTCATCTGTGGCGTCGAATGAAGAGATATTCAGCTAGCTGTCAAAAGACGAGCACTTTTTACTACAATCTCTCCTGTTGAGAGTAAAAGATATGAAACCGTAAGAGTTTCCTAACTATAGATGTCTTCATGGCATCATCAGCATATGGTGGAATCACGATATGAATAATGTCGAGGTTTAGTGAAGGATACTAGGTAGAGCCAGCAGATGAGTAGTGCTTTGGTGTAACATCTATCACTCACAATCACACCAAAATGATATGATTATGAGCGATAAATTCTGCTCAAAAAGTTATCCTTGAAATAATACTGTATCACTCTGAACTATATCAAATGAACAGTCTAATATACTGTCCTCTTTGTATACTATAAAATAACATTTTAAGAAATAAAGTTAACTCAAAGAAAATAAAGTTTATGAAAAAATACGCGACTGTCCCGTACTGGTGGTATACGTGATAGTCATTGAGTTAAATTCGGTTTGCCGATGAAAATGTTTCCTAATAATATATCTGAATAGAAATACTTACAGAATGAAAAGCTAAGATTATCGTTTTAAATCAATAATTAAAAATACTTTTTATCTTCAAAAGATTAGAGTATACATATTCTGTTGCAGGAATAGTACCAAAATTATAACCGAAAAACCCTGTCAAAAAAGACATCAAGGAATAGAGTGAATAAAAATATTTTTTTGAACTTAGCGTCTGTTGAAACTTAAATAAGTAGTTATTCATACTATTTTACTATTGTTATTACTATAACTAAGATGAAAACGACTATTACCATTATTATTTCAGTTAAAATGGGGAAAAACACACTAGACTGAAAAATCTTCAATCAAGTCAATGAGAAAAGATGAAATAGAATTAGTTAAACATTATTATTCCTTCTCATTGACCAATCAGAATGGATTATTCTAATTCTTTTTACCTCTGAATTCTCTTACATGTCTACATTTTTATCCCTAACCCTACGTGAGGTGCTTTGCCAAATAAACAACCTTCAGCTTATATATATATAGTAAATAATTTCATATACTTATAAGCATGTTTAGACTGTTACATTATTTGTTTTGCATAACAATGGCTGTAAATTATAGCTTTATGGAAATAAATTAGTGGATATTATATTCATACTTGCAAGAATTATTCTCAGACAGTGTATAGAGAATTTGTTCATGTATAACCTGTTTATGGATATAATATCACTACCTTCAATATAATTATTGGTAATTATTCTTGTCAATGCATTCTTCCTTGAAACCTGTTTTGGGCTCATCTGTTTCAAGTCTTATGAGTGCATCCAGTAGTGGAAGCGCTGGGAGTGGGCATCCTTTATCTGGTCAACCCACAATATCAGCTACACTAACAGCTGTACATAAAATGGATTCTGAATTACGCTGTCCATCGTGTAGACGATTTTTCCAATGTCCTTTACTTTTACCATGTGGACATTCACTGTGTAATTTATGTGCAACTGGAGCTTTACTACCAGCAAGTGAACCAAGTATAGCAGCTTCTATAACAGCTGCGTTACATTTGACTGCAAATGAAAATTTTAACCCTAGTAGTGGCCCACCACAGTCATCATCTTCATCTTCTTCTACAACGGGGAGTAGTATCGGTTGTCCTAGTGCATTACACTCTCAAGGACATGCGCAAATTACAGGCTGTACTTCTGTTATTCACTCAGATTCCGATCAAGTGAGTGTTGTTAGCGAAAGTGATTCTGGGGTTATTGTTAGCAGTCGACCAGGCAGTTACGTAGGGCGATTGCCTGTTGTAATATGTTCATCAACCTCAGGTTTGAATCCTAGTCAAACGTATAGTATCTCTTCATCCTCAATAAGTCAGGTGTCAAGTGGTTTGATATGTCCAATATGTAACCACGTAGTTGGTCTTTTTGATGACAAAGGATTGAGTCATCTTCCAAGGAATCGTGCACTGGAACGCATTATATCAAAGTTTATTGGTCCTGATCAACAGTCACAATCTCAAAAAGCTAACATTAACCTGGAACCCTTCCTGTTGAATTCGAATTCTGATCCTATCAATAGACCAGGTGGACCACTTTGTCAGCTTTGTGAAGAACCTAATATCCCTTCCGAAGGTCAGACTACTTCAGGAGTCAACAAAACAGAGACTGAGGAACAAAATTGTTTGGCCACATTTTGGTGTGAACAATGTGAAATTTTTTATTGTACACAGTGTCGTGAAAAATGTCATCCAGCTCGTGGACCATTAAATCGTCATGCATTACATTCAGCTAGTCAAGGTGTTGATATAATCAGACAGAAACAACGTAATCAACCTACACCGTGTATGTCACACTTGAATGTAATACCAAATCTTTATTGTGTTAATTGTCATATACCAGTGTGTAATGAATGTATTAGCAGTGACAATTCACAAACCTTTGAAACTCATTCAAAACATGAAATACTTCCACTGCTTGGAGTTTGTAAATCTCGTAAAGTAAGTATATGTTTCTAGGACATTGGTAGTTTGATCATTTTTTGAATGAATGATATTCATTGAAAATTATATCCTTTGTATTCACTTCACTTATTTACTTGATACAAATATATTTTATAGATAAGGGGTTAGATATGGTTGATACAAAAGTGGGAGAAACCAATCAATATCAAGTGACTTGTCCAGTTGTAGTCCGCAGCAAATATAAGAGTCTTTTTCAATTCTATAGAATAGAATAAAACAACATTACACTTCGTGGTTTATTTATTTGAATGGTCAGTTATGAGGTAGTAATCAACCAGAAGAAAATCATTTTTATCCTGTTTACGCTAAAAATGGGACAGAGTTGTACCTTCTTCTAATACAGCCAAATAACTCCAGTTAGCCGAATGGATGGAATCGACAGGAAGTCCTAGACCTGTTTCTCGCCTTTTGGTACTTATCAGCAAAGTATATCTGCAACCTCAACGGAACTAATGTCCCGCCTGAGATTCAGTGTATCATGATAGTGAGTTTCGTAGCCTGATGATTATATCGCAAAACAATCGATAGAATTCGATCGGCGCACACAACTATACAATGTGAAGTTGGTTACCTTACAGTAACCAATCCGTGCGAATAACGTCAGTATCAAGATGTGGTTTATTTTATACAAGGTCGTTTCTCAATGCCTTCAAATGCTTAGCACTTAGATGAAAAGATACCATTGTATATTTCTAACGTGTGCTGAAAGACGAATTATTGTGCAGTTTTCCCCTTTTTTAATTGAAAGTGATTCGTTATAAACAGTTTACTGATCGGAATAAAAGTGAGGTAGTTCGAGAATTTTTAAAAAAAATATTTTTATACGTTTGTCTTTTATCCTTTCCTGTATTTTATTTGATTCATACGAAAACTCATACCTACACATAATTACATCAATGAGTGAGGTTGACTGGTATCCAAAATTCTTAATTTGGCTTCACTTCACATTCTACTTTGCTTATTTGAGTTCTACTGACTGTTTTTAAATTCCTTTCCAATATCATATACTTCCTAGTATCTTAAAGTATATCCTATTTGTGTTCATACTTTCAGTCTAGAATCGCAATAATCACTCAGGAGGTAGGCGTTTCACAGCGATTTTCTTACCCGCTGCCCGGAAAAATAATAAAACCAAAGGTCAAACATATAAGTATACTGTTCTATTCAGATTACATTTAGGCTTAATGATCATATTAGAAGTTTAGCTAATCAGAGTAAGTATAGGTTAGGATCTTCTGTCAAAATAATTATTAAAAAGAACCATACTCCAAAAGTACAAATATAAGTATGATGAATTCAATCTGGAGGTTTATCATTATTATTATTATTTATCCCTTGGGTTCCTAGCGAAACATAGGGCTCCACTAGCACGTCACCATTTTCACTTTCTTCTCTCCAGTTTTTTCAACCTGGCTTCACGACTGCCCACAAGCATTCATTTCTTCCTCACACTATCTCCTCCATGTCACCCTCTCCCTCGTCGTTTCCCATCTGGGTTCCACTCGACGGTCTGGTCTGACCTGGTGCGTGATGTCCCAACATCGTCTTCTCAGTCTATGTCCGATCCAATCCATCTCCACTTTCTTATGTATATTTGTTGTGCAATTGGTTCTCGGTTGGTTGGTTGCTAGGACAGAGTTTCTTGTTGCTTATTCTTTCTGGCCATCAACTTGATCTTCAGTATCGAGTGAGCGTAGTTTGTTGGAAATGTTTTTCGTAACGCGCCAAGTGTCTCAACTACATACAAGCAGTGAATTTGTGTTGTTCACGCTTTATGATGAGTACAGTGCACTGCAATGCAGTGTAGTGCAGTAGATCACCACATTGATTTCAGGTTAGTGAAGGTCTGTATTTCCGATGCTGGCTGCTTCGACGTCCTCATCTCTACCTGTGCCACCACCTGTAGTTGAAACGATGCTGCCTAGGTAGGTGGTTGGGTGAAAGACACTACCTCCTCTAGGCTGCTCCCCTTCATGGTGATTGGTGCTTGTTGTTCATGCTGTTGTTGACTGGGCATTTCATCACCTCCGTCTTCTCTACATTCACTTGAAGTCCCATCTTCGCTGCCCTATCTCTTCTGTCAACTTGTTAGTTTTTACCTGTAGATCTTCGAGTTTGTGTGACAGGACATTAGACATCAATGATCATCGTTGGTGAAATCCAAATCTCCTTCAGGGTTCTTTTCATCTGTCCAGCCAGCCAGCGCATCCTCATCTTCTTGGTCTTCCCAGTTCGATGCATGATGCAGTCGACGACAATCAAGAAGACCATTGGTGATAGTAGGCAGCCTTGTCTAGTCTGGAGGTTTATAAAGTCTTATAAATAGACTTCAGATTGTAATTCACCATGGATTGATATCCATGGCAGGGTCATGGGTGCGCACAGCTGAGGAGTCCCATACTAGGACGAACCAGCTATCCAGTGCTCCTAGGTTTTCAGTACTTCTCCAACCGGTGTCAGTCAATTATAAATTCCAAGCTGAAATAAATCTGATGAGTGAAGTCAAAAATGAGTCTGGGTTATGTAACTATTCGAACTAGTTTATTTGAGTTTTAAGCTTAGTATTCATAAGAGTTAGGTGACTTAACTTTGAACGTAGTCAGCAATCATCTTTTTTCTTTCCATTCTAGCCATTATTCATTTCTTTAAATTCTACCTATCGACCACATCTTCTTCGTACTCTTGTTTCAATGTGAAATAGAAGCGATCTCGTCTCGATCAAGGCGAAATTTCTTCTTCATAAGTCACATAAGTGAATGGTGGAAATAAAACTTATAATTGCGTTTACTATAATCAGATATCATTTAAATCGATTGAAGATGTTACTTGTGAAGCATGGGATTCAATTAGTAATCGTAGCGGTCATTAGCTATATCTGCAAGAGCGTGATAAAAAGTAATTAAGATGCACACTTATGATAAGACAATAAACTAGTTTCATGGATAAACTCCAACATCCCATAACCAGTGATTCATTACTCCAATCACAAGACAGTTAGACCTGAATAGTCGTTCAGTTCAAGAATAGTGAAAACTGATTTGTGGTAGGAATTCGTCATGGACCGACATCAGTTGAAGAAACATTGCAAACCTGGTGGCAGTGGACAGCTGTTACATCTTATATAATAATAATGCACAATACAATATATAATAATGGTGGCTCGCCACAAAACCTGGAGGTGCTGGGTTCGATCCCTGGTAAGGTCATGGGTGCGCACTGCTGGGGAGTCCTATACTAAAACGAAGCAGTTATTCACTGCCTTCAGGTTTCCAGTGCTCTTCCAACTGAAGTCAGTTCATAATGAGTTCCAACCTAAAATCAATTTATAAACCTCAACAAACCCCCAGATAGATTAAAACTGATTTGTATCAGTTATCTCCATTAGGATTTGGAACGGTTTCTATTATTATTATTATTATTTGTCCCTTGGGTTCTAAGTGGAACATAAGGCTTCAGTTGCACGTCACCATTCCACTCTCTTCTTTGCCATCTTTTGAACCCGGCTCCACGACTGCCCAGAAGCTCTTATTTCTTCCTCACACCATCTCCTCCATGTCACCCTCACCTGGGACTTCCAACTCGTCGTTTCCCATCTAGGTTCCATTCCAGTGCCTGAACTGGCTCGTGGTGTCCCCAGTCGGTCTTCTCAGTGCATGCCCGATCCATCTGCACTTCCTTCTGCATATTTGTTGAGCGATGGCTTCTCGGTCGGTTAGTTACAGGGCCGGAGCGAGTTCCTCGTTGCTTATTCTTTCTGGTCATCTGAGCCTCAGTAACTAGCCAGTGTAAGCGGCAGTTGTTGGTGAATGTCTGTAGTTTGTTGTAAATCTCTTTCGTAACGCACCAAGTGTCTGAACCATATAGAACCACTGACTTGAGTGAATTGGTGCTGAAAATCCAAATCTTGTTCGCACTTCATGCTGAGTGCGAAAGATCTCCACACTGGTTTCAAGTTAGTGAACACCTGTCTTGCTTTTCTGATCCTGTCTGCTTTGACGTCCTCGTCTGTGCTTGTACCGCCTGTAGTTGAAACAGTGCTGCCTAGATCAGTGAAAAAGGCTACTTCCTTTACGTTTCTCCCACTGATGGTGATTGGTGCTTGTTGTTGGTTGGGTATTTTCATCACCTCCGTCTTCTCTACACTCACTTGAAGTCCTGTCTTCGCTGCCCTGTCTCTTTTGTCAACTTGTTAGTTTTCACCTGTAGATTTTCGGGTTTGTGCGGGAATGGTTTCTAATGTATATTTATTTTCATGTTTTATCTGTATCAGTTAATTTTAAAAAAACTAACAGTCAACATGATAAATGTTTATTTACTATTGACTTTATCGTTGCCAGGATTGTATAAATAGTTAAAAAGTAATAAGTGACTTTTGATCTACTCCATGATCCTTAATTTTACTGTCTACTGGGTTTTCGTTTCTGTTTTACTTGAGCTGTTCACTTAATTAGTTAGTGAACGCCATATGTCTTCAAAGGTATTAGTTACTGCCTAATATGTCCTTACAGATTACCATGGTATTCTTTTCAGTGTCCAACCCTTCATATAAACATAGAACTTGACTATAATCTAATGAAGTTATCTGATTTAAATCAGTTCAACCATTTTCTATAGCATGATTGTGTACTCGATAATGAAATGGGAGTAAAAAAAGGGTGGATAATTAATTGATCATTAGGAATAAATAATTTATCACCTTGTGATATTTAACATTTCACTTTATTAACGCAGACTAAACAGTTTGATGAAATTCCTTCTCTTGTAAGACCTACATGATGGTAAGCACAATTTATCTAAAACTGCCTTGCATATTATACATATGCACAGAATTCGAGACTAAAATCATAGACAATATGCAGTTAGTTTGTTAATACACAAAAACTGGTCTTTGTATGCCAAAATTTTTCCCTTCAATCATGAACTGTTTGTATACTATTCAGTAGCATTTCATCTATCTGTATAGATGATGACTGCGA